CGATGACGGGGCGGGCCGCCTCGTCGTCCACTTCGCCGCAGGCGCCCTCCACTCTCCCCTGCGAGTCCCTCAGACCGTCCTTGCCCAGTTTTACCACGGGACTGTCGGGTGGACTTTCTGATTATTTCACACATCAAAATCAGGGTTCTTCCTCCAACCCGTTAATACATTAACCTCCAAGGGGAAGTCAAGAGACTGTAAGTGAACATTTTACACACCTTTACCTTGTAAATGTTAATGGAGCGAGAGAGAGAGAGCGAGAGCGAGAGAACGAGCGAGCGAGCGAGAGACTTAAAAAATGAGCAAAACAGAAAGGAGAAAAAAAATACTCACCCAGGAAAAAAAAAAGTCCAGGTATTTTTTATTAAGTTTCTTCCCCCATACCCTCTAACCCCCATTTTCTGTACGTTTGTTCAAGTCTTTAGGGTCGTTTCTTATTCCAACCAAGCGAGGCGAGTCAGCAAATGTGCAAAAATAATAATAATGATAATAAAATCAGAAGGATACATTGTAGACGATGCAGTTTTGGGAAGGGTTTAAATAAATAAATAATATTAATAATAAGATAGTAGAAGGTATATCTAAACTAGTGACTGCTTTTTTGGCCGTTTGGACTCCGCTTTGACACCGGTGTGTTGGGGTGGTTGTTTTTTCCCTCCTCACGCCGACCCACCAGATTTTCCATGTTTGCAGTATTATAAGTTATCATGGATGTGATGGTGGGTGCAGACCATGAGAGTAAAATTAAAATTTAATCATGATGATAATAAATTGATGAACGCCACGATGCAAAGTGTCATTTGCGTGGTGGAAGCAGAACAATTAGGCAGAGAAACTCAATAATTGCATTTTGGCCCTGGATTCTTTTGTTCTCTACTCCCTCCCCTTTTAAAAAAGAGCCAATTTTCTCCCCCTCCCTTTTTTGTTTTCCTTTTGTTTACTTTTAGACCAAAGATTGGGTTTTTAGAAAATGCACTCAGTGTACGAAATGTTTTTTTAAAAATAAAATAAAATACAGCAAATCAGAACAAGAAGGATATCATTTCAGTTTTGCAGCACTGCCCGTTCAAATGAATCCGAGGGGACAAAAATTCATGAATTGCCTTCAGTTTGTGTTGTGTATATTTTGATGTATGTGGTCACTAACAGGTCACCTTTATTTTTTTTTAAATGTAGTGAAATGTTAATACCTATTGTACTTATAGGTAAACCTTGCAAATATGTAACCTGTGTTGCGCAAATGCCGCATAAATTTGAGTGATTGTTAATGTCGTCTTAAAAAAAAAATCTTGATTGTGATACTGTGGTCATATGCCCGTGTTTGTCACTTACAAAAAAAATGTTTACTATGAACACACAGAAATAAAAAATAGGCTAAATTCATATATACTCGATAGTTTTTTTGTCTTTTTTAAATCAAGAAGTTTTAGCATCCAAAGGACTTTTAAAACAATAGGAAACTGAAGCTGACCCATAATGTTAGGCCCCACCTCTCAATTGCTCCATCTGCCACAATACCCGAGAGCAAATCTGGAGTTTAATGTTTAAGAGAACTGAAGAACTTCCCCTTTAGTTCCGCTTTCAGAATCTGACCCAATAAGAATAAAATACTCGTAGGTGTGTGAGAGTGGTGTTTTTTTAAAAATGGAAAATTTGGCACATGTTGCCTTGAAAACATACTTGATTACTGTTCTGCGAGGGAGGGTTTTCGATAGTTTGTGTTGTGGTCTTTTGCGTTTGAAGGGCTAGTGGTGTAGCAATGCTGGGTTATTATTTAACAACAACCTTTACACGGTCATTTGAATGCGTGCAAGCTTGCATTCCACTCCTGGCCGTTTGCATTTCTATTTCAAAGAGTCCAACAAGCCGCTTCAAAGCACATTGCCTTGGAAGCCCTTGACTTTTAAGAGCCTCATTCCTCAACGTATTTGCCCGAAAGTAAGTGCAACGGCCAGGCCTACATCCGAGTAAACGTGTTTTGGATGGGGCTGTGAGTTTCAGGAGTGGGGTGGCGGGTAGGAAGACGGCCTTCCCTCCCCCTTTCTTTTCTATGTGCTTGTGAATGTGTGCCTAAGTTACGGGTGTTCTGCGTGTGCGTAGCTCCACAAACAGCTCTCGCTGCTTCATTTTCTTGTGTTTTCAAAAGCGGGGGGCTGCTTGCCTGATATATAGGTATATATAATATCTAAGTCCTGGAAAGTATATTTGTTGCCCCCCCTTCCATTTAAAAATGAACTGCACTCGCGTGCGCCCAAGTTTTGATGGAAGGAATCGCGGGAGGAAATGAAGGGTAGGGAAGGAATACATCAGTGATGCCATGGGTTCTGAGGTGATGTGCAGAATTTGCCCTTTGACGAAGTGCACTGCACTGGAATATATATATATATATATGATAGAAGGATAGATAGAGATAGAGTTCTACTGAAGCCCAAGTGTCTGTTTGACGTAAGGAGCTTAAGTTTTCTTACTGCCTGGCCGTTCCGTTTGCTTTTCGCTTTGGGCTGAAGGGGTGAAGTGACAGCGAGGTCTGGGGTTTTTTTTTTGTGTGTGTTTTTTAAGGCATCCGGTTTGGGGAAGAATTTCGGGAGAAGGAGGGTAGCGATTCTTGCCAATCGCTTCAGAAAACCCGGTGCAGAGGGTTTCTCGGCTAATTGGATCCCGCAGCGAGTCCTTAGAGGACAAGTTGTTCATTTGTTACAATTGTGTAGTCGGCAAGGGGTTCGGCAGTAATGCAATAAGCCGGCTCCCTGCGCACAATGGGGGGATGAAAAATAATCTCTTTGCTGGAGATGCTATCGCCAAACGCTTTAAAGAGGATCTCTCTCTCTCTCTTTCTCAAAAAGGAGTTCTCCTCCCCCCAGAAGGAAAAAGGAGAGAAAGAGGAACCAGGGGATACTTTAGGCGACGGATAGGAGAAAATGTTGACATTTCTGGGAAACAAGGGGGAGGTAGGGGGTTGCTGAAGAGTTGATGTTCTTCACGAAGGAAAGAGGGATGGGAGTGATTAAGGAGTAGAATTGGGGGTGTATGTGAGTGTAGGGGAAACCTGGGGAAACCTAGCCACCCCCAAGTTCTCCTAACTCTGTAAAGAAAGTGACTTGGCTGGGGTGGAAATCGCAAAGGACGCTCTCCTGACGTGCCTAACTCCAGCCTCGGGTTATGGGGAATCGTTTGCAAAGCCGGAAATCACAGAAATGTTGGGCGACAATTAAAAAAAATAAATATCCTGAGGTTAAAAAATGAGGGGTTTTTTTTGGCGGGGGGGAGTTGCAGTAACAGGTTATACTGAAGACTTCCGGTAATAATAATAATAATAATAATAATAATAATAATAATAATAATAATAATCTGTGCCGATTCCAACATGGAGTCTGTATCCTTTGCCAAAGCCGAGCAAACGAGGAGAGGCGTCTGGTGGTGCAGCTGACAAAGGGGCCGATGTATTATTTAACACTTGCCATGGGTTGCATATTGTGGGGAATCCAGCAGCAGGAATTAAACCTGCTATTTGCAGTGGCACTGGCAAAACAAAAAAACAAAAAGGACGGGCGGGGGAGGAATCCAAACTCTGACCCGATCCTGTATTGGAAGTGTGTAGAAGTGGGGACAGCAGGGGGCTTGGTGATGGCATATGGTAGGTTCCAGATTTGCAAGCCTAATAGAAGGTCTAGGGGTTCCCCACACCCCCACAATAAGCTTTAACTAGCTAAACTTGATGCATGGTCATTCCTGAAGAAAAAGAGGTTGTGTGTGTCTGTGTGAAAGTGTGTGTCTGCGTAAGTTCCCCCTCGAAGGTGTAAACAGGCACTTGGCGTTTGCAACTCCGGGTTTCTGTCACGGGCTGGCTGCACCTTGAGGCGCTCAGGTGATTCCTCCTCACTCCTTCTTTTCTTTTTTTTACTCCAGGTGGAGGAAGGGAGGGTCACGGCAGAAGAGAAGAGGCGTCTCCTCTGATCTGCCAACTCCCGAGATTGCCTTTTGTTTTGATTACGGGGTTGTAGACCGCTTCGGGTGCCATCGCGAGACCTGGGGTGTGTGTATGTGTGCGTGCTGTATATAAATCGGAAAGAGAGCAAGGCAGAGAAATAGCTCTCCTGGAGTTATATCATCCAGGCGTTCATTTATCTACTTTTACCTGGAAAGGCGGCGCTTCTTTTTGTTCTGTTTTTTTCGGATCAATCGCTACAATGACCATTCAGGTCCTCCTGTACATATGTTAGTGTGCATCCCAAAGCCATCCATACTCTGGCCTTCAACTTTTCATTTCATTTACTTCTGTCTCTCAGCAGATGGGCCACACCATTTTGCTTTCTCATGCACCTCTCCTGGTTTGCCAAGGAACTGAATGCTTGATGGTCACCACTTCAAGGCCTGGACATTACTTCCTTAAAGTTTTCACTTGTGAAATCCCGACGGATTGATTACTATCACTCCATCATCATGTCCGAATAATAATAATAATAATAATAATAATAATAATAATAATAATAATAGATATCCAACAAAGTCATACTTAGAGTAGACCCACTGAAATCAACCGACTTAAGTTACATTGAGTATAGCTAACGTAGGATATCACCCAGTGATAATATCCTGGCGCTCTAGGCAACTTTTAAATTTAGCGTTTCTATATCCTTCAAGGCATGTTGGTAGAAAATACACTTTTTTCACTCCAGCTGTATGTTTGGTGAGTTTTTTTAATTAAAAAAACACATTTATTCGTCGGTGGTTCTTTGGTTTAAATTTTGGGACTGTTTAAACTCTGAAAGGGAACGAAGGGTGATAACAAATACGCCAGCCTATAAAGGAAATATTGGATCGTAGAAGAACTCAGTAACAATACATTCCACGGACATACTTAATTTATTGGAAGCCGCCCAGAGTGGCTGGGGTAGCCCAGTCAGATGGGCGGAATAATAATAATAATAATAATAATAATAATAATAATAATAATAATAATAATAATAATAATAATAATAAATGTCAAACGCCGTTCATACCTAAAATTCTCCCTAGAAAGTTCTTTTAAGGACATTTTTACTTGCGGAGAAGTTGGCACCGAAAACAGAGAGGCTCTCTTCTCACTATCAAAATAATCATAATAAAACATTAGGCTTGGCCTGTCAGAAAGAGATCTGATTTGGCCCTAGAGAAAGAAGGGTGCCGGAGAGCGGCGTTCTGAGGCCTTGGGACTCAGGCAAGCACGCTTTTCCTGGGGCTGATCGCATCGCACCGTCTGCATCAAACACGGTGGAGCTCAAAGCTGTCCATGAGAGATTGATATAGATTTTCGAGGAACCCTCCCATTTTGTTTTAGTCTGAGAATCTGTGCTCTTGTTCAACCTTTATGGGATTGTAATTGCCGAAATTGACCTTCAGATGCCCCCTTTCCTCCTCCCTCTTTTTTTTTTTTTTTTTTGTTAATACTGAGCTTCGGTAACTTTAATCCACTCCTTTGTCAAACAGAACTCACCTGGCGTTTACACGGGAGCTATCTGAGTAGGGAGGAAGTTTAGGACAGGAAATTCCACGCTATGTCACACCAGCCCTGTCGTTTGCGCCAGGACGGGGATATAACTAGGATTCCCCTTTCTTTCCCTTCATTTTTTTCTAAAATGATGAACTTCTCATATTCGTGGATCTATTTGCATGTGAATGAAGGCATTCCCCCGCTGTATATTTCTGCAGTGGTTCCTGGGGCAGGTTCCCGTGCCTTCAGCTCAGCTCCTCTAGATTGGAGGCTGTGATGTCCTCGTATGGTGAAGGCGACTTGGTGCGGAAGCCATGGAAGATCCAGCGAGATGTTCTCCAGCCAGAGGCCCGTTCGGTTCAGGTGGTGGTGGTTATGGGGGTGGGGAAGAGGGTCTAGTGCAGGAGGCCTCTGCGGTGGGATCCCTGCGTCAAAAAAAGTGGCGGAGCTCTTGGGTTAGCCAGAGGTGAAGGTGAAGATCATTAGAGGGTGTTTTTTTAGGGTTGGCTGGCTGTGGCTCTTTTGGCTGGCTTTGGGTGATCGTGCCCAGAGGGCGGAGTTGCTGCGATTTCCTACCTCTCAGCGGAGAACCTGCCCTCTCGACTCCACGGCAGAAGGACGGGACCTTCTGGGAAGGAAAACAGCTGGACGAAGGATCTCAGCGAGCCATCCTGGCAGCAGTAGCAGCAGCAGGGTAGGTGAAGTTCAAGCCAGCCAGCCCCCATTCCGCCTTCTCCCTAAGGGGGGTGAGGGGTTCAGGAGAAGAGAGATGGGAAAGCTTCTGTCTAGATCCATTCTTCGGCCTTCACCCGGGAAAAATAAATAAATCAAATATTATGAATTCTCCCTCCCTATCTACCTCCATTTCGATCTGTAAATTTGGACGGGCCAAGAATTGGATCGTCTTTTCTACACCGCACAATCCCCCGCAATAGCAACCCCCCCTTCTCTATTCGTTCTTCTTCCGTTTTATTTATTTGTTATTTTAAGAGTCATGACCTGGGTAAAATGTATCCTGCTTTCTTCCATTGAAACACTGTAGACCTTTGACAACTGGCGAGGAGAAGGAAGACTTCGCCTGCTTTTCAAAGGGGGAGACTCGAGCGACAAAGAGCCAAGGTGACGAAAAGCCAAGACGATTGCGCCGCTGAGAGAGCCTTTGTTCGCCTTTTGAAGCGGGTGGGAAGAATTACCTGCGGCGGAAAGGAAGAAGGAGCCCAAGGAATCCGACCTGCTTGGTCGCCGCCGCCGCCTTCTTCCTTCGGCCCTTTTCGAACTGGTGAGTACGCCTTTGCTCTCTCCTAAACTTCACAGAGCGCTGTTTATATTTCTTTTGGGGTTGCTGCTTGTTTTAATTGCCAGTTTCTCTTTCTTTCATTCATTTGTCTAAACACAGATTCACGATTTAGAAAGAGAAGGGGTTTTTTTAAAGGAGTTTTTTTGCAATTTCTATCTCTCTCCTTTTTGCTCTAATTTTAATGCGATACCGTGTTCAGGTGTCACATGTGCCTAAATAATTGTGGGTTTCCTAAATATATATGGATAGGACCCAGCCAAACTTAAGAACCCTTTAAGGCCCATTGATCATTCCAGCATGAATGCTGCCGCCTCCCATTGAAAACAATGAGATATTAAGTTCCTACGTTTGGTTTGAAAGCGCCTGCGGTCTCTCTCTCTCTTTCTCTCTCTCTGTATATATACATCTGTGTGTATCTATCTATGCAGATAATTTTTTAAAAATTATTTTAATGAGGTTTTCTCAAGACAGCTTCCTTGTCTGCACCGCTTTCATTATGCAAAACGCTTGACTATCAGTGCAATCCTGTGCAGATTAACTCATACAGTAAATAAATTGAACTACATCAGTCGCTCTCTTTAGGAAGCGTGCTCAGAATTGTCCCTATTTCATATTTAAGATAAAGAAAAAGTGTCGCCAGCAACATTTAAGAAAGGAAAAGCGATTCATGTAAAGGTTGAAAAAAAATAATAAGGAAAGGGATTATTATTCCTGGATATTGTACTGAGATGAGAAATTAACTGGAGTATTACAAGATAAACTTTTGAAACGGCTCTGGTGTCAAATTTCGGCGTGCTCCTCTTTAAGTGCTTCCATGCAGTTTCAGGACTTATTTGTGCTCGAAACTTTTCAGTCTTCCACACGAGCCCAATCCAGCCAAAGTGAAGCATCCCGAAATCGTTTGGCTGTGGGTTCGGGAGACTCGTTCGCGTGCTTTCAATTCTTTCCCAAGCGAAATCACTGAGCTTTAAGCTTAATTTTAGCTGGATCGCGCGGCCCATATTTTCTTTGAAGACCCTCATAAGTCGATGGAGTGAACGTCCAGTAAAGGCTGCCACTCCAAGTCTTGTGTATTTAACTCCTAGGGACAGATATGAGACTTCTGTGTCGCTCCTACTGGAAGGAACGAAGGGACGCTTGAGACGCAGTTTTCCTACGCATGCTTATTTGAGAACAGGATCCATTGAGGAATGGGCCTAAGTCTGAAATCTTACGCACACTTTCCTGGGCGTAAGTCCTGCTAGACATGATGGAGATTTCAAGCTTCCATGTTAAAGAATTGCAGTGGGCGAGATATCTGTATTTGCCTACATTTCGTTCAGTGAGGCTGACTCCCACATAAATTGGTACAACATTGCAGCCTTAACTGGGTGTGGATCGTGAAATCCACTTAACTTTTGATCCCCTCCCAGGTTTTATCTTTTTTAAAATAGTGATGTGATGCGTCTATGCTGGACTTTTATGTTCAGTGCTGGCTTTAGGGGGGGAGGGTTTTTCTTTTCTTTTTAAATCTTCTTAATGGTTAAAGTTGACCCGCTGGGAAGGGGGAACAGAAGAACAATGCAGCGTGCGCCACACTGTAAATTATCTTTCCCCCCTAATTCCCCTGTTCCTGTAATTTGTAATCTCAAGAAAATAATTAATTGTTAATACACCAATTTGAGTTACCCAAACGCAGGGAAGATAAAAACACCTGCTGAACGCAATCAGAGCCAACGGTAATGAAGTACTGAGAGGTTTATCTCCCCTTGCAGGAAATAGAAAGAGGGTGAAGTTCATTCTCCCTCCCTCCAAAGGCAATTTATATACAATGAAATTAGTAGTCAGGAGAGAGAATGGATCTACCGGTGACAGTTTTTAAGAAACCTGCCTATGGGATAAATGGGTCAATTTAGATTTTGAAGCGACTAAGAAAGAAAGGGAGTCTGAAATGCTGTTTTGGTTACTTAATTTTTCTCCATGGATACGGCACTGTTTCACCTTCCGCCTCTGTCGTGCAATGCTTGCTTACAGCTGATTGACAGAAATAGTCCCTAAGTTTAGGGAGATGAACTGGAGGTTGCTCTGGTTTGAGGAACGCGTGGAATGTGGGCATATGGGCAACGTTAAGGTTTATTAAGTGTGTTTATGCAATAGGATTTATGCCTCTGCTGTTCTTTAAACTGCAGGGCGAGGGCGCTCTTGCCAAGCGCAAGAAACCAATTGCTCAGTGTTCCCTCCTCTGGCACACATGTTCGAATTTCAGGTGCCTAGAAAATTTGACTGCCATATAGATACATAAGCTTCACCTTCTGTGTGTGTGAGTGCATGGGTGGGTGGGTGGCTGGATAGATAGATAGATAGCACTGAGAGATCCGAATCAGTGTCTATCTTTCTACTCTTCTAGTGGCAAATTTAAAAATTCTTTCCTCCCTTGTCATTACTGCAAAGGGGAATCTAATTCAGGCCATCTGCCCCGGCCCCAGGCTCCATAGCTTATGGTGTGGAAGGAAAGAACATTAAAGCCCATGGAAATCTCTTCCCCCATCCGAATGTACTGAAGCCAAGAGCTTCACCTCTCACCTTCAATTGACAGTCTTGCCTACACGCTATACTTTTAAAGCACATTCGAAGCACCTTTCCCCCTCAAAGAATTCTGGGCACTGTAGTTTCTTGAGGGTTGTCGGGAACTGTAAGTCTGTGAGAGGCGAGCTACAGTTCCCAGGATTCTCCGAGGGCGAGGACGTGCTTCAGATGTGCCTTAAAGGTACAGTGTCGGTGTCGCTGAGCTCAGGCGCGACACGTCGTGGCAAACCACCACCAGGCACGTCGACAGCAGCGGACAGAGACTCTTACACTGAGAAGCACCAGCATCTAAGCAAGCCCCGTCCCCTGCTACTGTCGCCGCCGCCGCCGCCGCTTGTTGATGCTGTTTTTGTTTATCCCCAACCACTTCGGCTTCACCGTGGATCACCCTGTAAGACAGTTTGGGCCTCTGTGCCCTCCCACAGCAAAGGCGATCTAAAGCTTTGTGGGAGGTTTGTGTGGCGTTTCCATGACAACAACGTGAGAACAGGTTACACAAACTCAGCCGCCGCCGCCACCACCTTCCGGTGGGGAGCAAAGAGCAACCAACCAGAGGCGGGGAGGGAAAGCAATAATGAGAATTAAAAAAAAAAAGTTACTGTAATTTATCGCACGGTGCAAATCAATTCACATCCCCTAATTTCAGTTTAAGCTGCTTTCCAAAGCGCCGATCACCACTAGTAACCTATTTGCAAATATTATGGGAGAAGATTGCCTTCCTATATATATATAGAGAGAGAGAGAGCGAGCGGTAGTTTTCTGGACGTGTTCAAATAAGGCACATTTCTACCACAGCTCTTAGAAGCGTTTCTCGATTGTCTCGAATCTGGTTTTTAATTGGCATTCCACCCCAGTCTGGAACAGATTTCCTTGAAAGGAAGTCTCAATAAACGAGTTTCTTTCAGTTGCAAGCCATGGGCACCACCAGGCCAAAGTTAACTTTTTTTTTTAAAAAAAGTCCACTTTATTTCAGAGGGAGTTGGGATCGCTTCCTTAACTTGCTTAACTTTCTGCGGATCCTTCCGATGACTTGGGCATGAGTCAAACTGACCTTAGTTGGCTTTCATTCAGACGTTTAAAGATGGCGGTGTGTGAGGATTTAAAAGTTTTATGCTCTTTGCTTTACCTTCATATATATTATGTAGGCTACAGAAAGCCACGAGTTAAACGCCAAAAAGCATTTTCTATATTATTCTGTTATGCCAGATCTGAGAACCATCTCAGGTTAACCCATATGATTCTAGCCAACCTAAGCTGACTCCTTGAAGCCAAGTGGGATTTTGGTCGGCGCGAAGAAGGAAGCGGGCGGGCCTGTGGGGCGCGCACACGTGTGGGAGAAGGGCCCGTCTTCTCCCAACCTCGTGGGAAGCGCTTGAATGTTTCGGATCTGTTCTTGGTAGAAATCTCGATCTCTCTCAGTTTTTTGCGAATTAGGATTTCAGTGTTGTTGCTGTTTTAAAAATAGATTAGTTCAGATACTTTCGAGGTTATCGAGCTTCCCTTATAATCTCAAGAGGTAGGCAGAGGGAAAGGAGGGTTTTACTTCTGACTTTCTTTGAGGAGTCACTTTCCCTTCTCAGGGTTGATCGAGCAGAAATAATTTCAGATTGTTGGATTGATCATATGGGACGGGAGAGTGCCGTGCAGGGCTAGGGGAGAGGAGGAGGGTCACAGTCCGAGAGAACCCTTCAGAAATCACTAAGGTTTTCAGACAGGCAGTATAAGAAGCAACGAGGGGGGGAATGTACTTATTTATATGGGTGTTGTTTCTTTTGAAAAATCGCAGCTCTATATAATGAAAGAGTTTTGCATTCCACAAGAGGCTGCGATAATCTTGTTTAAAGTGGGTGAGGGTGGGAACCACGATAAAGGCCCCTAAATGTTCTTTTGGGAGAGAGGGAAAATGTATATATATACTAGAAGAGAATTTCTTCTCCTTTTGGCATCCTTAGGCTCAATATATCTAAAAACGTGGGGGCAGCGAGGATTTGTATGAGAATTATAAGGAAGCGAGTTTACTGCAAGGTTGGTGTCCATTTCAAGAAGCTATCACCCGATTCCAATGTTTACATTTTAAAGAGAGAGCGAGAGAGTGACAGACAGAAAGGAAGAAACCGTGCTATTAAGGCTGATGTTTCTTCCAAGATGCATTTTTTTCGCCGTCGTGTTTGAAAAAAAAATACTCCCCATTTGTTTTACTACTGTAAAAGTTTTGCAATTGGGAGTGGTGGGTGGTGGTAATAAAACTAAACCCACACTCCCACGGCGGGCGTTTTCCCTCTTCTAATAGAAGAAAATTCCATCCAGGTTAAAATGGAAGCATTTAAATTATTTTATTTTTTGCTGATTAAAATCCGTGGCTTTCAAATCCTAATAATTACCTACAGAGTAGTTCGGAGTCTTGGTTGGCAGGAAGA